AACAACGCCCGGTAAGGGCGGGGGATTGGGCTGGATCCCCAACCTGTGCATAGATCAGGGCCCCAAAATTGGGAGCCCAAAATATCAAAGAGCAAGATACAAAAGTCTACAGAGTCTCGCTAATCAAGATAAAAACAAAAGAGAAAACCAAAAAGAAAAGCCGAAAAACGCAAAAGAAATAAAACTACAAAACAGAGTCGATCTCCGGGCTAACAGGTGCCCGAAATAAGTGTCTACACTACTGAAAACAAAAAACCTAATCTACTGAAAGCAGAAAGATGGATATCCAAGCTGGTCCATCCGTACAAGCGTGCAAAGGCGGAGTGGAGCAGTGTCGGTCTGGAATGTATGTGTGCCTGGTATGGTGGCGCCAAGGCTGGCCAGGTAATCGGCCGGTCTGTTCCCCTCACGGAAAATGTGTGTGATCCTGTGGTGGACTGACTGAAGTAGATCTCTAATGCGCAGAAGCGGGTGCTGAATCTGCCACGATCCCTGATGGCCCGAAGTCAGGAGGGTGGCGACAGCCGCAGCATCCAGCTCGATCCATATATGACTAGAGAGGTGGACAGCAATCTGAAGGCCAATCTGTAGTGCCTGAATCTCTGCATCGTAGCTCGAGGAGGCCTGAATGGACGCGTGGAAGGCGGTGATGAGGGCGCTGCTATGGTCCCGAATCAAGCCTCCTCCTCCGGCAAGTCCAGTGTGGCGATCAAAGGAGCCATCAGTGCTCAGCTTAACCCACGGAGAGTCAGGTCAAAGCCAAACAACAGCTCTGGCCCGTGGAGGCCGAACAGGCGGTGATGGGGCCACCATGTAGCGATGCGGTGGCGTGCATCCTGTCCAGTCTCTGATAGGTTAGTTGTCTTCTATTGCTAGGTTAGTTGTCTGATGCTGCTAGGTTAGTTCTCTGTATTTGCTTGGTTAGTTGCAAGTTTACTTTTCTGTTGATGCAAGGCTTGTTATATCTATTTGACATTTTTTGTTTTTTTTTTGCAACTCAGTTTAATTTGAAGAAATGGAGCCTCAGAGGGATGATGATATTCTTTTGCTGACTGATTCATCTCACAAGCCTGTACGTGAAGCTCGTCAACGGCAGCCTGATGCTAAAATTCGTTTCCCAAGGCTCTCAACACGGTCTTCTCCAAAAGTTTTGTTTGAGTCTATTGCCAAATTAAATGATGATCAGAAAAGAGCTGTAGAGAAAATGGGGTTTGGACATTTGCTGCATCTTAAGATTAAAGAGATTCCAACAAATTTATCTTTCTGGGTGTTGGATAATTTTGACCCAGTTAGCTCTGTATTGCGTTGTAGTGAGGGCAGAATCCACATTGAATCTGTTGATGTGGAGAAGGTATTAGGCTTTCTTAGAGGGGATAAGACTATTGAATTAAAGAAGAAATCTGAGTGTTGTGAGCTGTTGGATAATTGGAGGAGTAAGTTTACACAATCTTCTGATAAAATCACTGCTGAAAATGTGAGCAAGGAAATGTTGGAGTGTCATGATGGTGGTGAAATGTTCTGTTGTCATTTTGCTGCTTTGGTGGATGCTCTGATAATTGGAACAATATCTGCTGGTTATGTCAACCCACTTTTCTTCAAGTCCATTAATGACATAACACGTGTATCTGACTTGAATTGGTGTGAATACACTCTTCAAAGTTTGATTTCCAAAAGAATGAAATGGAAAAATACCAACAAGACTGCTTTTAATGGGCCTCTTTTTTTTCTCGTTGTAAGAATGTATTTTTATATTATTCTTTAACAATTTGTATTCCATTTTTTTATATATATATATATAATTTTTTTTTCTCTCAAAATGCAAGTTTTATACATTGATCGGCTTGCTTTTGTAAATCGAGAGGTTCCAAGGAGTCTGCCCTCCTTTATTGGTTGGAACTGTGACCTGTTGCGCAAGAGATCAAATGCTGAGGCCAAAATTGGTGGTTTTGGCCGAGGTTTTGTTGATGAACGTTTGGAACAAATGCCATTACTGTCATTAAAATCAAAACAAAAAGAAATGTCTGATGATTTTGTTCAGGTTGGTATTTTTTTTAGGTATATGTTGTTGCTGGGTTTAGTTTTTTGCTGTTGCTGGGATATTTCTTTGTTCTTGCTAGTTTAGTTTTTTTATTGTTGCTAGGTTAGTTGTCTTTTGCTGCTAGGTTAGTTGTTTATTGTTGCTAGGTTAGTTGTCTGACGTTGCTAGCTTACTTCTTTCTTATTGCTAGGTTAGTTTTCTGCAGTTGCTAGTTTAGTTGTTTATTGCTGCTAGGTTAGTTATCTCTAGCTGCTAGTTTAGTTGTTTATTGTTGCTAGGTTAGTTGTCTGATGTTGCTAGCTTACTTCTTTCTTGTTGCTAGGTTAGTTATTTTTTGTTGCTAGGTTAAATGTTTCTTGTTGCTAGGTTAGTTGTCTTGTGCTGCTAGGTTAGTTATCTGATGCTGCTAGGTTAGTTGTTTATTGTTGCTAGGTTAGTTGTCTGATGTTGCTAGCTTACTTCTTTCTTGTTGCTAGGTTAGTTATTTTTTGCTGCTAGGTTAAATGTTTCTTGTTGCTAGGTTAGTTGTCTTGTGCTGCTAGGTTAGTTATCTGATGCTGCTAGGTTTTTTTTTTTCAACAAACAACGCCCCGGAGGGGCGGGGGATTGGGCTGGATCCCCAACCTGTGCATAGATCAGGGCCCCAAAATCGGGGGCCCAAATTATCAACGAACAAGATACAAAAGTCTATGGAGTCTCACAAACAAAGTCAAAACAAAACAAAAAACAAAAAGGAGAAACCGAAAAACGAAAAAGAAACAAAAACTAGAATACAAAGCCGATCTTTGGGCTAACAGATGCCCGAAATAAATGTCTATACTAATGAAAACAGAAATCCTAAACTAGTGAAAGCGGAACGCTGGATATCCAAGCTGGTTCATCCGTACAAGAGTGCGAAGGCGGAGTGGAGCAGTGTCGGTCTGGAATGTATATGTGCCTGGTATGGTGGTGCCAAGGCTGGCCAGGTAATCAGCCGGTCTGTTCCCCTCACGGAAGATGTGCGTGATCCTATGATGGACTGACCGAAGTAGATCTCTAATGCGCATAAGCGGGTGCTGAATCTGCCACGAGCCCTGATGGCCCAAAGTCAGGAGGGTGGCGACAGCCGCAGCATCCAACTTGATCCATATATGACTAGAGAGGTGGACAGCAATCTGAAGGCCAATCTGTAGTGCCTGAATCTCTGCATCGTAGCTCGAGGAGGCCTGAATGGGCGCGTGAAAGGCGGTGATGAGGGCGCCGCTATGGTCCCGAATCAAGCCTCCTCCTCCGGCAAGTCCAGTGTGTCGATCAAAGGAGCCATCAGTGTTCAGCTTGACCCACGGAGAGTCAGGTTGAAGCCAAACAACAGCTCTGGCCCGTGGAGGCCGAACAGGCGGTGGTGGGGCCACCATGTAGCGATGCGGTGGCGTGCAACCTGTCCAGTCGCGGGCCGTGAACCTGCCCAATGCGATGAGGAGTGAAATGTGTCTCTCAACATGCAAAACAATGTGAGAAAACATAAAAGTAATATCCCTATGCTTCGCACTATTCCTTTCTGTCCAGGTGAACCAAAGGATCAGACAAGGAATGAGGAAGCCTACGTGTCTAAGGTGTGTGCTCTGTGAGAAGAAACTCAGGAGCTCAAAAAAACT